TACTAATCGACTGGTCTAGGGGGATTCCGCGTCGTACTTAGTTTTAAGTCGGCGTAATTGTCCCCCAAAAACCAACACCCTCCCGTCCCTCCTCCTATACCCTACTGGGCGTATAGCATCGGCTCGGCGAACCCGAGAATGGCTATTAAAACTATTCGCATGTCGCTCTCGAGCCCCAAATAGGGGACAGTACGGAACGCAATGGACATTCGCACCCAGCAAACACGGGTGAAGCTGGGGGCGAACAAAAATCGGCGTAAGTAAACAGGCCTGTACAGGGTCCGGGAGTGATGATGAAATGGGGCTGGTTATACGTCTCTTATACTAATACTCATACTCATTAATAAAAAGTATTAGCTACACAGTTTTGTCCCATTTTTTTCTCAGTGTAGGTATTATTTTTTCAAAGTGATATTTTTGTTATTTATATGTTTTTTATGTATTTGTTCGATTAAACCATTTAAATTTAAAGTTTTTTTTTTAAAGAAAAGATTTTAATGCCCAGAAAAAAGGTAATCTTCTCGAGAATATTGAGAATCTTCTCGAGAATATTGAGAAAATTGAGATTCTTTTCGAGAAAATTGAGAAAATCGAGAATCTTCTCGAGAATATTGAGAAAATTGAGAATCTTCTCGAGAATATTAAGAAAATTAAGAATCTTTTTGAGAATATTGAGAAAAAACGTGCAATGTCCTAATTCGACTATGCTGTTAATAAATTCTCGGGAATTTCTCATTTTTGCTCGTTTATGCTCGTTTATTCTCGTTTATGCTCAATTTGCGTTCTCCAAAAATAAATGCTCGAGCATTTTCCATCTCTACAAACTGTAATAGTAGACGCTAGCAATAAATACATGTATTCACTCGTATTCACCCGAAAGGAACGTTCAACACTAAAAGTATTTCACTTAACCACTTGAGAAAAGCAGGAATATGAGCCATAGATAATAAATCATAAGTTTGTTGATTTCGTTACCAAGCAACCGCCAAGATAAACCGCCGGTCCTGCTACATGTGCTACGTGTGTAAACTAAAACCATATTCGACTAGACAAAAATATAGAAGGGACTCGCTAAGGGACTTTTATTGTATATTCTTAGAATTGTATGGTTTAAACATATAAGAGATACAAATAGGCATTTTTAATTATATTAAGTGCCTGACTATGTATATACGTGGCAATGCACACAAATACCACGTATATGCACACTATATATTTTTAATTATATTAAGTGCCTGACTATGTATATACGTGGCAATGCACACAAATACCACGTATATGCACACTGTGGATATCATGTAGAATGTAACTCCTTCAACTTTTAGAATGGCGATATCATAGGAATGGTGATTCTTAGGAAAAAAAGTATAAGGACAATTTTTGTAGACAATTTTGGGACTGTCTACAGTTCCTACCAGTAGGAATTTTAGTCGCCGAGTCTAAAGTTCCTACTGGTAGGAACTTTAGCCACCTGGTCAAGAGTTACTACCAGTAGGAACTTGGTGTTCTGTGGTTCCCGCTCTTTGTCTATACTGTAACCTTAGAACAAGTAACAAAACCAAACGATAATTGCAAAATAAAAAAAAATTAAAAATAATTCAAAAGTTGTCTTTGCGTGCATTGAAGATAACGGTGGACATTTCCAACATTTAATTTAACTTTTGAATTATTTTTTATTTTTTTTTTAATTTTGCAATTATCGTTTGGTTTTGTTACTTGTTCTAACGTTAAAATAAATTTTGTTTAATTAGTAAATTTTTTTTTTAAATTGACCATATTTTTAAACATAAAAGTTGATTTTTCTTGAAAACGGTCAATTTTAGAGCTTATGACAAGTACCTTTTTTGTGTAGAAAACATTGGCGGATGGAATGGGCCTCTCAAAACCGTACTTTTTTCAGGGGCGTAGAAGTTGAGGAGAAAAACACCCGCTACCCCTTCAAAATCTCCACCAATTATAAGTAAAAATAAAAATTTTCTGGCACAAAACATAGCTTATTATGAGTAGAAAATGCTTACAAAAGCTGTTTTTTGTACGATAAATGGTTCCGGAGATATTCGAAAAAAACAATTTTTTTTCTAAAATTTACACACCCTTTATCTCGAAAATTGTGCATTTTAGAGGGTAAGTTAATAGCGACTTTTTTCATCTTTTTGGATGATCTATCACATCCTGAAGTCCTGCGCATATATTATAAAACACCCTGTATATATATATATATATATATATATACAGGGTGTCTCACCAGCGGTGGTACCTTAGACTCTAAGAGGAATTTTATTTAAAATAATTTTAAAAGGTAGATTAAATTGTACAATAATTGCTATAAAATCTTCAAATTGATATCCTCAGCCGTTCTCCGTAAACCTCTAAGGCTTAGAGGTTTACGGAGAACGGCTGAGGATATCAATTTGAAGATTTTATAGCAATTATTGTACAATTTAATCTACCTTTTAAAATTATTTTAAATAAAATTCCTCTTCCGGTTTAACCGGAAGCGACATCAACTTTGTTATTTCCAATGGAACACCCTGTAAATTTTTAAATTCCTCATGAAATTCTTAATGAAATTGCTGTACCATTTTCTATACCTAAACTTAATAGTTTTCGAGTTAATAATTTTTTTCGTAAAATTTTGACAGTTGCACCTTCATTAAAAATAGCTTATAACTTTTTTGATATTCGGTTTGCTGGTATGCCGTAAGGATTTTTTGAATCTGCAACTGTCAAAATTTTAAGAAAAAAATTATTAACTCGAAAACTATTAAGTTTAGGTATAGGGAATGGTACAGCAATTTCATTAAGAATTTCATGAGGAATTTAAAAATAAAAAAAATTACAGGGTGTTCCATTGGAAATAACAAAGTTGATGTCGCTTCCGGTTAAACCGGAAGAGGAATTTTATTCAAAATAATTTTAAAAGGTAGATTAAATTGTACAATAATTGCTATAAAAATTTCAAATTGATATCCTCAGCCGTTCTCCGTAAACGTCTAAGGTACCATCGCTGGTGAGACACCCTGTATATATATACATATATATTTATAAATATATTTAGAAAACTAGAGATATATTTCTAGATTTCCTACCTAAATCGCAAGATACTTTAATATTTTATTTATAAATAGTTAAAAAGGATATATTTTTTATGTTTTACCATTAATTTTAAGTTACATTTTATTTTTGTTTTTACTAAATAAATGTTTGTTGTTAAATATATATTTTGAATTTAAGCCTTTTAGCAAAGATACCAAAACTATAGTTATTATAGAAATACTCTTTCTTATAAGATTAGTCAAACTTCTTTATACAATAATGAAAAAATATGTTTGATTCAATTTTTCATTTATAACGCATTGTATATAATATTAGACCTAATACTTTACTCAATGATTAAACATTATTGTAATAAAATAAGTTTTCCAAAGATTTTTATAAAATGGTTTTTTTGTGCAGAACAAGTAAAGATTTGAACATTATTTCCCAAATAGGCCATTTCTAATCTAAACAGGTGGTAGTAACTTTGGCGTCCATAACAGAATTTCCGACTGGTAGTAACTTTTGACTCAGTGGCTGCAGTTCCGATCAGTAGGAACTTTAGTCTTGAAGACTTAAGTTCCTACTGGTAGTAACTTTTGACTCAGTGGCTGCAGTTCCGACCAGTAGGAACTTTAGTCTTGAAGACTTAAGTTCCTACTGGTAGGAACTGTAGACAGTCCCGACAATTTTATGATCTACAATTTTTGTCTAGAATATATTTTTTATAAAACTTACCGTTTTCGAGAAAAATAAAAAAAACTTTTTTAGCACACATGGGATTAATGGGGATTTTTGGCACTTTATTTCTACTGGTGTACCCAAGGTCTCTACCAAAATTTAGCTCTGTGGGATTTTTTGTTATTTGAAATGTCTATTTTGACCGGACTAAAAAGGTAGTGGAATTCTGGTAGATTCCCAGACTGCAATGAAGGTTCGAAAATATTCCAGGAATATTCCGTATCGCCTAGGAATATTCCGCTTCATTCTAGGAATATTCATTGGGAATATTCCTAGAATGATCCTCTAAAACTTCCAAGCATCATCTAAGAATATTCCCAGTGAATATTCATTAGTTTAGTTGCAATACCTCTCACCGTTGCTTACGCACGCTTGATAACTATATATACCGATAGGTTAATAATATTAGTTGGAGATGTGCGTCTGTGATGGCACAGCCAAACAATGATTATAGTGGGACTGATATACTCAGTAACTCAATAATGGCTATACTTAAGTTAAGTTCCTGGGTATAAGAGGCAATATGGGCTGGGAATATAATCCCCAAATTATATCAAGGAATATTCCCCTAATAATCCTTGAGTCTTCTGCAGGCAGATATATGGAATATTCTTTTTATGATGCCTGGGTTAATCAAAAAGCGGACATTTGATTATGCTAGGAATATTCCTGGGAATATTCTGGGACGATTGGAATATTCCTGGGAATATTCCTGGCATGTGCAGGGAATGTGATTTTGCGGTCTGGGTTTTGATCTCCCATTTAGTGGAATGGACTTGCCTAATGTTAACCACAGATTATAAAGGTGTTAACAACACTGAATATAGGCATTAAGCGGTATATGTGTGGAAGTATGTGCACAAAATCATAATAATATTATATGTATATAATTAAATCGCTTTAAAATTTAATAAAATATATGGGCAAAATTTTTCTATTTTGATATTTTTTCCTGCAAATAAACGTTAAAATACCGTACTGTAAACCGTAATCTATCAAAATACCGTAAAAGTACCATTGACAAGATATTCGGGGATTTTTCGTGGTTGGTACTACTTGGTAGATCAATATATTGAATATGTACTGTTGGCAACACTGAATCTGACACAACCTCAGAATTTGTTTTGTGAATTTGACATAACCACAAAAAACCATAGTAAATATCCTTTTTTTATGGTAAATAAATTTAATAAAATATTTTTTTATGATAATAAATTGCAGCAATGGGTGAGACATTGGAAAATCCTCAAAAATGCTGCACCAACGAGACCATACCTCAAAAATTAAAAGTTCTTGCGATTCATGGATACAGACAGAATGGATCAATTTTTAGACAAAAAACTGGATCTTTTCGTAAGATGGTACACAAATGGGCCGAATTTACTTATATTACGGCACCACATAAAGTTAGGCTAGTTGATGAGTTGACTACAGGAGATTCAGAAATAGGACAAAGTAAAGATGAAGGTAAGTTTAATTTTAAACTTACTTTTATGCAATTAGCTTGATAAATAGTATACATATGAATATAATAAAATAAAATTGCATGGACAGAAATATCTGAACTATAACTTTAGAGTCATTCTATCATTTTTCACCAAATTTGACAAAAATTGAAAGCTAACCTTGTTAGATTTTCTTAAAACTTTCAGGGTGTGAAGGCCAATGCTTAGGATGAACAAAAACCACAATATTTTTTTTTATTTAAACACCCTTAGGAATTAGGCAGGGCCATGTTGACTGGTTTGCATAAAAAATTACCAAATTGGTGTCTAAGAAAACCCCTTATAACTAAGTTGTTTATTAATATTTTGTATCATGTAATATTTTGTTTTAACCATAAAACAATGTGATCATAATTATGAAAATTTCCCATTTTTAGAGAAAAAAAATGCATGTTTTCGTCCAGAAGGACTGAACGAAAATTCTTCAAAATTTAACAGAATGTTCTCCTCAATATAAATTAAAAACTTCAACAAAAATTTCTTGTGTATTTGCCTTGCTAGGAAGATACAACTGTTTAAAATACCATAAATTGTATAGAATATGGAATTATTTTCATGGTCTTTTTTATCAAGATGGCTTTGATAAAAAATGCTATTTAAAGGTGTTTGAAAAAGAAATATAAAATAGTAAAAATTAAGCTACATAAACATTATAATTATAATAAACAAAATAACGCATATAGTTGTCGCGGCGAATGTTTCAAATTGCGTCATCAAATTCTGAACCAAGCACAGACCACAATCCACACAATTGTGGATTGTGGCACAGACATTACAATTATTGTTGTTTTCTTTTACGTATATAATCAAAGCAACCGCTAGGAAATCGGTTTTTGACATTCGACATTGATGACGCAATTTGAAACATTCGCCGCGACTTTACATAATAATTAATATAAAATAAAACAAAAAGATGCATATTTTACCTGATCTTTTGAAATATACTGATGCTTTTTAAAAATATCTATTGCTGATAATATTTTGTCAATGAAATCAGAAACTGGTAAATTAAAGGTAAGTAAATTACTAAATATTTATACACATATTTTTTAAATGATAGGGACACCCTGTTTGAAAATTATCATTTACTCTTAGTTTTAAAAGAGTTTGAACTAGGTTCTTCGATATTTTGTAATAAAATATCACATTTCATCAGTTTTCGACACTTCTCCTTCAGGAATTGTCCAACGGAGCACATTTTAAAATATGTAAACATGTAAAAATGTCAACATGTAAATATTTTTTAAATGTAAAAAATATAGTTTGACTTTTCTATCAAAGCCTTCTTAAACAAAAATCATATATAAATTTAGTGCCATTTTCTATAATATTTGTCGCATTTTTTAAACCGTTGAATCTTCTTAGGAAGGCAAATACACAATTTTTTTTTACAATTTTTAGTCTACATTGAGGAGAACATTCTGTTAAGTTTTGAACAATTTTCGTTCAGTCCCTCTGGACGAAAAAATTGATTTTTTTTCGCCAAAAATGGAATTTTTTTATAATAAAAATGGTATTTCCTGAAATTTGGGTACTTTTTTATAATTTTGCATTTTATATTTTAATCGATATTTATAAGTACTTTAATTAAAAATATACACCAAATCAAATTTTCATAGCCTACTACATAATATCAATGGTAGAAAAATCACTTTTCAGTTCAAATAAGCGTGAATTTAGCACTAAAAAACTGCACTTGTAAAAATATTTGTATAATTTTAGGTATATACAGAGCTGTCAAAGATACTTTTAAAAAGTATCTAGATACAAGATAAGTTACTTTTTGAAAAAGTATCTGAAGTTACTTTGGGTATCTAGTTCTCTTTAAAAAAAGGAACTTAAATACTTATCTTAATTTACTTTTTAAGATACTTAATAAGATACTTTTTTAGTTACTTTGTATATTATGTAATAAGTTTCGTATAAACCGCCCAACAAAAATTCGTTCCAACCCTACCCTGATTTTTCAAATAATTTTAAGCTTACTTTTTTAACAATTTTTTTCAACAAAATCTAGTTGATTAAAACCATTGAAGGGTCTAATGCAAAAAGTGTCTAACTTAGGCACTTTTAAAATATCTTAAAAATAAAAAGAGGTAAAATCGTTAATTAAACACCACTTAATTATAAAAATAAAAAAATTATCTCACACTTTTCATTTAATCCTTTTTAACATTTTTTTTAAATTTAAAATGGAAAACATACATTGAACATTATAGAATGTACGGTACAATGTAACAACCAATATCCTACATCAGTACATCATAAAGAAGCAAGTGCAAGTACTTACCTAACCTAACTTATTTCAGACTTACCACTATAAATTCAAGTCGCAACGAACGGAAACACCCTTCTACAGAGCGGGTGGTGAAGTCACAGATTATAAAAGAAGTATAGGTGAATAAAAATTAAGAAGGTATAACAAAAATCGCCGCCTGTCGATTGGCGCCAGTCGCTGAAGTCGCCAGTATACTTATTATAATAACTTCGATGGCCGCGGCCGTTTCGAACAACTTGACTAAAGGAACTTTTTTTGTGGTATCTTAGATACTTTTTGGTATCTAAGTTACTTTATGGTATCTAAGTTACTTTTTGGTATCTAAGATACTTTTTTAAGTTACAAGATACAGTAACTAAGTTACTCTAAAGTAACTAAGATACTTTTTTCTGACAGCTCTGGGTATATATATTAAAAGTACATTGTTTTATGGTTAAAACAAAATATTAAGCGATAATAAATATTAATAAATAAAAAAGTTACAAAAGGATTTCTTGTAAACCGACATGGCCTCGCCTAATTTCTCAGGGTGTTTAAATAAAAAAATATTATTGTGATTTTAGTTCATTCCAAGCATTGATCTTCAAATCCTAAAACTTTCAGTTTAATCTGAGATGTCGAGCTTTTGTCATTAGGTGAAATTTCATTTCTTTATAGAAATAGTTTTCTTTCAATAATTTTGGTTTAGATTAAATAGATTAGATAGCTTCTCATATAATAATAATAATAATAATTTATTTTCAAAAAAAATATTTTACATTTATTCAGTAATTTAAAACAGTCATAGCGGTTCATTCAAACTGCAAAGTATGCAATTAACTTGATAAATACTATACATATGAGTATTTATTGCATGGGCAGAAATATAGTTATATATAACTAGGTATAACTATAACAGTATACTGTAAATAGAAATAGTTTTCTTTAAAAAAATTTGGTTTAGATTAAATACTGCAGTTTAAAAGATAGCTCCTCATATAAAATTAATAATAATAATAATAATTTATTTTCAAGAAAGACATTTTACATGTATTCAGTAATTTAAAATTTTTGATGCAATATATAAATAAGTAAAATATAAAATAAGACAAATGTAAAATAATTTATGGGTAAGTAGGTACTAACTAATTTTAATATTTATGAATAAAAAATTCATCCAAGGAATAAAGTGTTTTACTTGGTGAAATTTTTTAAATAGATTTATTGTTTTGAATGTTTTAATCTTCTGTGGAACATGGTTAAAAAATTTGATTGGCATTATCATAGGGCTTTGGAATGTAAGACAAAGGCTGTGTTTTGGAATTAAAATTTAATTGATATGTTGACATATACATATATAAAATTTTATTTGGTATGGAATGTTTTTATCAGTAAACCTTATAAATTTCGATACATTTTAAAAAATATTTAAACATACAAATATACAAAGACCCAACTGTTAAAATTTCAAGCTCGCTGAATAATTCTCTACATGACTTGTATTTGATTTAAAACATCATTGTTCTTGTAATTCGTTTTTGGCACCTTAAAAAATCGCAAATTTTATTGGAGTTACCCCACAAAACAATGCCATAACTTAACAGAAAATTAATGTAGGCATACTTAATAAAAGTGGGACAATATCTGCCAAACACAAAACATTTTAATGAAAGTTTTTAAATTAGTTTTTCAATCAGGATATGCTACTTAAGTAAGAAGTTAATATAATACCGGACAATTTTTGAGTTTTTTTCCAATTTTGAATCGGTAATGTTTGTTATTTTGAATTAAATTTTTTACAGGGGATTTTGGCATCCTTTTGTATAAGTTTACTAATAGTCATAAAAATACTAATTCTACTTTTTTTTTCAAAGTCTGTCTGTAGTCGGCGGGCGATTTCGGAAAAGCGTTGTAAAATGCATGTAATCAAAGACTCTTCGGACAGGAATATTCCTTTAAAAAAGGTATAAAGCATGAAATTAGGAAAAACCCATCCAAATGGAAAAATTCATTTTATTTATCAAAATATAAAATTAAATATAATTCTGAGGATCAAAACAATAAAAAAAAATATATTTCTTTTTATACCTCACAGCAAACGGAAAAATATAGAAGTGTATTGGATGAAGCCACGTTTGAATACAGTTTTCTAAACCCTCGCCACGGTATAGAGTTGTATTCGTCAGTCGAGCGTTTCAATACTCTCCACAATATAGAGGTCGTAATTTGACTTTTGAACTAATATATGTATAAAATTTCGGAGGTTATGTTGAAAAAAATGATGGATATGCTATTAAACTTTAATAGCAATTACTCCTTTGGGAGAAATATTCAACACAGCTTAATTAATAAAATGAAAAGAATCACAATCCAGTCCAGCATTAATATTAATATGAAAATTATTTTATGCTTGAACAAAAAAAACTATATACGACTGGATTGTGATTCTTTTCATTTTAATAATTAAAAGTAATGTTATTTAAAAAACGTATACAAACCCAGTAATTTCTCATCCCCTCCACTTTATTTCCAACTCGATTCAAAATGATACTTCCACACTGCATTTGTAGCTGAGATGAACAGATATCAGTCAAAAATAACGCTTTCTCTATGGAACGCTGCTTACTAAGCAGTGCTTAGGTGACGTAGAAAATGAATAGGGAGCAATCTATATCCCTATTTATCCGATTTTAAATTTTCATGGTATATAATGAATTATTAATAATTTATTATTATTATTATTATTATTATTATATCTATACAATTTAATTATTAATTAAGGATTTTAACTTTTGTTAGAACAATATGGATGGTTTTTTAATAGAGACGATAAATCGTTTCGTGGAATACGTAAAGGAGGGCCTGCTATTGGTTTTGATGAAAGTGCACAATTAATTGAAGATATTGTAAAGTCTGGGGGGCCTTTCGATGGGATTTTAGGATTTTCACAAGGAGCATGTTTTGTTGGTTTACTGTGTGACTTACAGCAAAGAGGATGTAAGAAAAGAAATTGTTTTTTAATTTTTGTTTTAATGTCTTAATTTGTTTCAGTATTAAATTTTAAATTTAATTTTGCCATTATATCCTCGGGATTTAAATCTGGCAGCTTACCTCATTTAAAGTATTACAGTGATATTCTTACCATTCCTACTTTACATATTTTTGGTGAAAATGATCAAATAATTCCTACAGGTAAATATAAATAATTACATACCTGCCTAACATACAAAATAGTCCATTTTTGTACCAGACCAAAATTATTAAACCCACTTTATAATAGCCTAGTCAAATTAAGCAAAAATCGACCTGCCTTCGGAAAAAATCTTAGCCAAAACTTTTCTTTGGGATCTTTTTTATATGGGCCCTATAGTACACTATGTACAGGGTGGTCCACGTAAGGTGACCCATATACTTATCTCAGAAACTACTGGAGTCACAAAAAATTTGTGAGAAACAAATATTCACGAAGTAAAACATATTTTTAAAATATTATATTTTCATTTATACAGGGTGTTCGGTTTTCCTTGGGACGATACCAACTTTCTTATTTTCAATGGAACACCCTGTATTTTTTGCATTTTTGGATTCTACCCACTCTTTTAGGTATACTTTGTAAATATATTAATTAAGAAAATGTTAATACTTTTTGAGTAAAATTAAGATTTATTAAAATTTCTCTAAATGTAGACACTCGCTAAAAGTTAAAAATAATCAACTAAAAGTTATTATTTTTTATATTATGTAGTATCCATCTCTTTAATAATAAGTAAGCTATAAGTTAATTATTATATTTTTTGGAAAATATCATACAGGGTGATTTCTATGTCCTGTTGAAAATAGCGATTTTAAAAGTTTAAAATCTTGTTTTTCTTCAATGGAACACCCTATATATTTTTGCATAATTGGATAGAATAAGTAATTACCTTTCATTTTATATATATATGTCCTATACCTAAACCTAACAGAAAAAAAATATTCGCATTTTTCACAATTAGTAGCTTTTTTCCAATTACCTTAGTTAAATTTTCATTATTCAAATAAATAAATTTCAATAACAACAAATAAAAACGCTTTTATATATAAATATATATTACTATAATAGTTACCATACGCGCAAAGCTACTAATTTTGTAAAATGCGAATATTTTTTTTAGGTGATCCACGTAAGGTGACCCATATACTTATCTGAGAAACTACTGGAGTCACAAAAAATTTGTAAGAAACAAATTTTCACGAAGTAAAAAATATTTTTAAAATATTATATTTTCATTTATACAGGGTGTTCGGTTTTCCTTGGGACGATACCAACTTTCTTATTTTCAATGGAACACCCTATATTTTTTTGCATTTTTGGATTCTACACACTCTTTTAGGTATACTTTGTAAATATATTAATTAAGAAAATGTTAATACTTTTTGAGTAAAATGGGGATTTATTAAAATTTCTCTAAATGTAGACATTCGCTAAAAGTTAAAAATAACCAACCAAAAGTTATTATTTTTTATATTATGTAGCATTCATCTCTTAATTAATAAGTAAGCTATAAGTTAATTAATTTATTTTTTGGAAAATATTATACAGGGTGTTTTCTTTGAATAATAAAAATTTAACTAAGGTAATTGGAAAAAAGCTACTAATTGTGAAAAATGCGAATATTTTTTTTTTCTGTTAGGTTTAGGTATAGGACATATATATATAAAATGAAAGGTAATTACTTATTCTATCTAATTATGCAAAAATATATAGGGTGTTCCATTGAATAAAAACAAGATTTTAAACTTTTAAAATCGCTATTTTCAACGGGACATAGAAAACACCCTGTATGATATTTTCCAAAAAATATAATAATTAACTTATAGCTTACTTATTATTAAAGAGATGGATACTACATAATATAAAAAATAATAACTTTTAGTTGGTTATTTTTAACTTTTAGCGAGTGTCTACATTTAGAGAAATTTTAATAAATCTTAATTTTACTCAAAAAGTATTAACATTTTCTTAATTAATATATTTACAAAGTATACCTAAAAGAGTGGGTAGAATCCAAAAATGCAAAAAAATACAGGGTGTTCCATTGAAAATAAGAAAGTTGGTATCGTCCCAAGGAAAACCGAACACCCTGTATAAATGAAAATATAATATTTTAAAAATATTTTTTACTTCGTGAATATTTGTTCCTTACAAATTTTTTGTGACTCCAGTAGTTTCTGAGATAAGTATATGGGTCACCTTACGTGGACCACCCTGTACATTCATTATACCAAACATTGTTGAGGTCCTCGATCAAGTTGGGTGTCCCGAAATTAGGGGGCCAAAGTCAAACAGTGCAATCTGTTATAAAAAAACACCAGTTTGTTTAATAAACATGTATCGAAAAATGCCTCCAGACGAATTTACGACCCCCTGAATTGAATAACCTTTAATTCAATGAAATGGGTGTTGAATAAAAACATGTTTAAGTCTAAGTGATAAAATTTTAAGAACTTAGTTCAACACAATAATAAATATCTATGTCATAAGGCTAAGGAGTAAGTCTTTTTGAGCCGAGCTCAAAGTTTGAAGGTCAAGGCGTAGCGGAGGCCTACAATTGAGCGGTGAACAAAAAGACACTTCTCAGCCGAATGACATAGAATATTTTATCTTCAAGGTACAATTTTATTTGTTAAACAATACATAAAACGTAAAATTTTAATATTAATTATTAAAAGTGGAAAGTAAAGTTGGATAGAAGGTAAACAAACTTTACCCGATTGGTTTAAATTATTTTTACAGCCTAGGCGATAATCAATAGGTAGCTTTACAGTTACGCTCCAACCTATGCGATTAGAGCGCCCCGCAGGCTGCGGGCCGCAGCCATGCCTAGACCTTATTTAGGGCAAAAACATGGAAAATTATGTGCGTTAGTGAGCATCGCAGCACGCAATGGTAGAACGGAAAGGGATTTCAGAAGTGCTTTCCTTTGAGTGTGGCGTACTGTAGTACAGTAACTGTACAATGTAGGATGGGCCGAAAATTAAAAAAAATCGAAAATCAAAATTTAATAGTGCGAAAAAGTTGTGTAAGGTTATAAGAAGTAAAATACTCTTATGACTTTTCAAAATAAAAATAAGTCCTGCGGTTCCGCAAGGGGCCTAAAGTTAAAAAAAAATCAATAAAATAGGTTTTTTTCAAATTTAGTCGAAAACCTTTAATCCTATAAAAAAAGTACTTTACAAAAATGTTATGCCTATATAAAAGACATATTTTTTGTCATATATTTTTTTGAAAAATGCAAAAATATCAAAAAGGGATATTTTTATAATTTACATTTTTTTCAGTGCACAGCTCTTAGTTTACTTTAAAATACTTCAAAGCAATCCAGGACTCACCACGAGGAGGTGGCTGCGCTTTGAGTACCACCCATTCCCACCCTTCCATCCGGGACACCTTAATTTAATGCAGAAACTTTAAAATTTGCTTTGTGCTCAAACCGGTGCATTAAAGATCTAGAATGCAATCTGCTTCTAATTAAACCATCTCGATTTTCAGCTCCAAAAACTGAAGCGGCAGCCTCAGTAACAATTTTTACACATCTCTCCACACTTTGGGTGTGACAAGGAAACTTTATTATATTAATATCGGTCTCACCTAAAATACACGACTGCAGAACTTCATCTGGAACACTGCGTAAAATAGGCGGCTCAGTTATTTTGCATTAATGCCATTTAATCATGTCAATATAATCTTTTGAGTAAAAGTTTACTTTTGGAATTCTGAACTCTCTAATTATATTATTATTCCTCTCATTTCTGGATTTAATCAAACGTCTAACTCCAAGTTCTTTAATGTGTTTTCGATTATCGGCAACCATTGCTAGAAGAATCCTTTCAGGATGTGCAAAAAATGCATTTCGCAGTATTACAGGATCGATAATATTTCGGATTTTTTTTGGAAGATACCTGGAATAGTGTATCATTTCCCACAGATGGACTGCTCGTTGTGTACAACAAGACCTGGTTTTTATTTTAAACCATATCTTAGCGTACACCTTGACTACGAATTCAGCGAGGATTTTAAGTTCTGCGGAAGGGCTTTTTGTACCTACGTAGAGACGTAGTATTATATTGGCAGCTGTTACCCACCTACTGTGGGATAATTTTCCTGGATGTTTATGTGCAAGGTCTTCTGAACAAAAACCAGAGATAACTGCCTTACAAATTTGTAGTAAATATTTCTGATCTGAACTTAAATCGTCTATGTCGATATTCCCGAACTCTGAAAAATCTGTTGCAATAGCTTGAAAAGCAACAACTGGAAATTGTTCACATTTTTCCAAACCCTTTCCAATAGGCCCTGAATATGTGTTGGGGCCTGTTGTAACCCCATCTAGTTGACTAAATAAATGACGGAGTGATGGTTCATTAGCATGTAGTAAACAAGGAAACCACTGCAAAGACCTATGAAGTTTTCTCTCTAGTATTTTTATTATACCTCCTTTATGACCTGTATTTACAACGGTCCCGTCACATCCCACAGCAACTAACTCTTCGGTTGATACATTTGATTGATCTAAATGATTAAGTATACTTTGAGCAATATCCCTTGCTGAGCCAGAGTTAGGAGTAATGTGGCAAAGGTAAGATGATCCTGGTTCTTGCACCAAAGAAATATGCTCCTCTACAATTGTCTTCTGGTGAAATCTATTACCTATTTTTTCTTGCACTAGGGTCTTGTCTTTACGCCCATCGAAGTAAAGACCAACCAAAGATGTACTGTTAGCCTGTTGTTGAAGTAAATGCCTGACTTTACTTCTTTCTCTTCTTAGTTTATTCTTATCAATTGCTTGTGATATATTTTCTGAATTAATAATACCAATGTCTTCTAAAACAGAACTGGCTATATCAGCAGCAGCTCGGTCTGATAAACGGTATCGATCTGACGTTTTCGCTAATGATGGTAAAGCTACTCTCATTTGTTTTGACGATGTTGATTTTATATTATCCAAGTGATCTAGAATTTTATGTTGTGAAGAAGTACCAGGCTCAGGTTGTAAGGCAGTCGATGAGACTTGTAGATTTTTTATTACAGGGTCGGCTGTTACAGCGGCATGTAAGCGTGCATCCTCTAAAGTTTTTCTTGCTATTTTTTGCAATATTTTTTTAGAAAGAGGTATGTCAACGGACCCTATGACCATTTTTCTGTTTTTTCTTTGATCTGATAAGAAAGATTGCTCTCGTAATGGCACTTTTTTTTTATCGCAAATACAATGGGCAAAATCACATTTACATGCAGCTATATCGAACAGTTGCTTACTATCCTCCTCAAATTTGGCCAATTTACTTTTATAGCTTGGTACATTTTTTCTTTGTTTGTAAGATTTCATTAATGACTGGTATTTATCATGGTAACTTCGAATTTTTTGTTCAACTCGGGTTTTGCTTACCGTTGGTATAGATGACGTCTCCCATATCTGAATTATTGTTTGCGCCAATTTTTCAGAAATTATTTTTACCGACGGATCCGACCGTGTATTGCTTTTAATTTCATTTCTAATCCAAAAATAATGCAACATCGCATCCTTAAATGTTGGTAGAACAATGCAAGTCATTTCTTTTGGATCACCAAATAATGGACAACGAATAGAAGCACGAGTAGAAACACTAACTGACTTGGAAATTTTATAAAGAATATTTTAGTTTATATTCTTTTTAAAATATACACAATAAAAATAAACACAATTTGAATAATCACCGTAAAATTAATAGCCAAAGTAAGAACGAACTTTCTATTTTGTTTATAGCAAAGAATAGAACAATCAGCTGATCGTTTTCGACAGGGTTGCCGGATTGTGATTAAAATCTTTAAAATCAAACCTGCAAAATATGCACTTTTTAAGAAAAATATCGAAAAGGATTATTTATTTAAGTTAAATAGTTGCAATGTAAAAAATTTAAATTAATAAAATAACCCTTTTTGATATTTTTTGCATTTTCTTTCTTTCTTAAAAACTAGGGGTTTAATCAAAAAAATATGTATGACTAAAATATGTATATTATATAGACATACAATTTTTGTTAAATACTTTTTTTTATAGGATCAGAGGATTTCGAGTTGGTTTGAAAAAACATAATATATTAAAATTTTTTCAACTTTAGACCACTTGAGGAACCGCAGGACTAATTTTGATTTTAAAAAGTCATAAGGGTATTTTATTTCTTATATCCATACACAACTTTTTCGCGCTATTAATATTTTATTTTCGATTTTTTTTAGTTTTCGGCCCACCCTAAGTATATCATCACCCTAAGTATATCATGGTTCACACCCGTGTCCACACGCCATTCCACGTCACGGTGTCTTTTGACGCTATTACGTATTTTTCGTGGTTTAGTAGTTGGTTTTTTAGATTTTTGACATGGCCGATATTCGTCACGTCACCAAAGTCTTGACAAAATTGATAGAGATTTATAAGTCTTATTCAGCTTTGTGGAAGGTAAAATCAAAGGAGTATGTTAATAGAATTAAAGAAAAACAATACAAATGTTGTTTTTATTCATTTTAGTTAATAAACCACAAAAATTATTAGCAAACGACACGAACTCGAAGGTTACGCGTAGCGTAATTTTACGTTGAAAATTAATTTGTACATGCACATGCAGTTTCAAACGACAATATAAATGACACACATACAATTTTCCCTTTGAAACAGATATACCACGCGCAATCACGTGCTAAATCATTTGAATACTTTATCAAGTGTATGGAACATGACGCTTTTTTTGTCATGCCCTTCTTTCGTGGATACCTCAGAACCTAAGGTGGATACTAACCGCAACATCCCAACACGCCACGATAAATGCGTGAAATGTCTATGTATTGCTGCCTAATACGAGTAATGAAGTTTAAATTATGGAACGCGAAGATAAAGTAATGTTTTCTAAAAAAAATTGTATTTTTAAAGTTTGTCTCTTGCGAGATATTTCGGATTGAAAATACCCGATTTTAAATAAATTATAATATTTTATATATTTTGCAAAACAATAAGTAATTTAATGTTTTCTTAAAAATTTGGATTTTTAAAATGTGTCCCTTCCAAAATATTTCAGATTAAAAATAACCGATTTTACACTGAGAAAAAAATGGGACAACTAAACTGTGTAGCTAATACTTTTATTAATAGTGAATATATTGTTTATTACCTCTAAATAGTCGAAATAATAACGATAAATATACTTTAGTAAAACTTTATGTGTCGGGAATAAAAATATATTTAGGATAAATAAACTGTACCCTTGTCCCATATTTAAATATTTTTTTTATTTGGGAGCAATAAACTTTTTTCTCAGTGTAGACAAATCGAATATCTACTTTAGCTATTTTTAAAAAAATCTGCAACTCGATTTCATTTAAAAAATATCATCGATGATAATTATACCACTTCTATTATGAGTGAAAATATTTTACATTTTATGTTTTTAACGTGGTTTTTGTTTAAACTTATTATCTTTAAAAATCAAGAAGCTGAGGGGTATAACACAAACCTCTTTAAAATGCAAAATAGGCTGACGCACCAATAATGACCGCTTACAAAAAACTGAACATCTAAAAAAGTAATGAATACCTGTTAATTAAATTTGTTAATTTGATATGGATTTACCTGGTTACAATAAACTTAATTCTATAATTTAGCGGAATTTGGAAAACATGTATTTGTTTATTTTTTTACCTTTTAGGTATTTTGAATACATTTTGTAAAAGGGCTTGGAGTTTAACTATTTAAAAACCCCCTTTGAAATTTCCCAGCATTCTGATTAGTTAAAACGTATAGTAATTGATAATAATTTTTTTTAGAAATGTCTGAAGCTTTAAGTTACTGTTTTGAGGAACCAACGATAGTTAAACACCCTGGTGGTCATTTTTTGCCCGCTAGTCAACCTCAAAAACATGAATATCAAAAGTTTTTTAAATTACAATTGTTAAGAAAACAGTATGGTGATCAACAAGTGGACGAGAATAATGTATAAAGGATATATTAGTTTGGTAATTTTTACTGAATTTGGAAGGATTATTGAACCAAGAATTTATGAAAGTTACCATGATGGCCTTTATTTCCGGAATTTTATAAAAAATCACAAAAATTAATTTATACTAAATAAATTAATTTTTCAGTTAACATATTGGATCCAAAATTAGGCAAATATTTTGGCGAAAAGATCGTAATATGCAGGGGTCATATGATAAGTAAGGAAAGTCTTGTCGGTTTTTATGAGAGGCGACATGGGCGATCGCCCCCCCCCTAATTAAACTGCTTAGTTAATTTTATTACTAATAATAATCAAATCAAATAGACCTGCCTGGCAAGACGGCAAATTGGTAATAGCTAGATAATTGTTAAATTATAATACAACAAAAAATTGCTCAAATTATGGCCACGTCCCTTTTATTAATTCTGTGCTCGACCCCCAGTAGATGTCTAAACCCCCCCTGGACAACTTATTACATGACACCTGTGTGGGAATTCCCCAATATCCATGAGTCTGAAATAACCTATTTTTAAATCCAGTTTGTTTTGCTTTTGAGTTAATTATTTATAATTATTACAAAAAATGTATTTGTTATTATTAAATTAAATATAATTTTCTTTTCAATTATTTGTATAATAATCTATAATACTATTCTGCTAAATAATCAAAATCTTTAACCGTTTATAAGGATAATATTAATATTCTAATAAAACATTTTTTTAATACCTATTTAAGGTAATTATTTAGTAAAAAATTTATATTAAAATAAATTACCAATAGAAATTTTAACTTTAACCTTCTAGATAGAGTAAAAGGGGGTAAAGTAGTGCAATGGCTGTACCGACTAAATAAATGCAATGTATGTCATTGCACCTTTTACCAAAGTTATAGCAAACAACGCGTTTTCAAATTTCAATTAAAAGAATATCACAATAATTTTTCCTTAAATAAAATTTCGCGCTAAACACGAATCTGATTTTGTTTTTACAATAATTATAATGGTTAGATTCCGTAGTCGTCGTGACATATGTGTAGCACATATGTGCTTTAGGGCAATGTAGGTAGGTACTGTATTCGAAAAAAGGGGCAAAGCGTAAAAAAGTCAACTAAAACGACTGGTGTAGTTAAAACTAACAAAAAACACCAAGACCAAACGTATATGGCTACCTTACACGGGTCCATACAAATCCCTATTTTTATTTATTTTCTATGTTTATCTATACTGTATTTCTTAAAACAAAATCGGTAGCCATCATAACCGGCAATTTTTTTTTACTGCACCCGGAAAATGGTGAACACATTGCCCCCAAATTTAAAGTAATCAGGAAAAATACGGCCGTGAAAACCAGTGCCGAACTTACATGATTTACCACCGGGTACAATTTAAGTACCGCCTCTTATAGGTACGTAGAAATGAGTCCATTGTTTGCAAAACTTGCTATTTGCTGGAATGCATTTTTTTGGGAAATAAAAAAAAAACGATATATATATATTGTTGGTTATGGTTTATAGGAGTGGAAAGTAGAAATTTGCATCCTAAAAGAGTTACATATTTTAAAAAAAAATTAATGTTTATTGCATATAGCCAGTTTTGAAAATAAATCTAATTTAAAAAAAGTTTAACGAAGGCAAGGGATTTATTGAGGAAACTTAAGCAAAACAGGAGTCATCCTCGGCATTTTCATTTCCATTTCCAAACCATCAACGGTTTCTTCTACTGAGGAAGAGGAAGAACCTTTCTGCAAGTGTTCTTTGTAAAAATCTAGTTCTGGAATTCTGTTCCAATTTTGTCCATAATGTTTTGCAAGGAGACCAATAATAGTCTTTTTATCCCCTTTCAGTGTTTTCTCAAGTGATAATTTCCTAGGAGCCATTGAAGAAAGACAAAAGCCCATGTTTATCACGTGGGCAACGAGCGTTTAATTTGATTGGCGGCAGAGTAAAGAGCGAGTAAGACGTCAAAAAAAGCCAGTTTTGCATATAACCGTTATTTTCTATACAATATTTGCATTTTTGCGAATGTTCGATTTTAATTTTAAAATTCTCGTTAAAATTTAAATGTTTGTTTCGTTTTGTTTCTTTGTGTTTGCATAAAAAACAAATTTTTAAGGTGTTGTCGATTAGCGAGTTTTGCAAATAATGGACTCAAATTATTAGATTAAATTTGAAATAGTGTGACAATAAAACTCAGTTTTTTTAAACACATTTTTCGGTACAAATTATTAAATAAAAAATAATAAAAATAGGAGCATATTCCTAATAGACCAGGGTCGATAATTTTTGAAACCAAAAAAAATAACAGTAGGATGAAACCCATTGGAAAAGGAGAAGATTATAATAAAAATGAAAGGAAAAATAAATTACGGGCGATCTGACTTCGGGAAGTGGGAGGGGGGGGTTTTAAGGGTAAAAAATGGTTTATCTCGATTTCCGGCAAAACTACAAGTCCTATGGAAAAAAGTTAAATGGAAAAGTTGTAGGTAATAAAAGGATCTACAACTTTTGTAATTACAATTTTTTTACATAACCTCAAAATTTATGTGAAAAATTCAAAAAACCAAGTTTTTGGTTTTTTATTTTTATCTTTTCCAAAAAAAAATTTTTTTTCACGAAATTTTGTGAAAACTTACCTTTTTATGTCCCAAATACACTGTAATTTATTTGATTTGAAATATTTATTATTTCGCCTTATTTTGACTTAATATCAAAAAAGCACCCTAATTTTCAATCGAAAATTCTCGCGTCAAAATATCAGCTTTTTTCAAAAAGTCGGTGTGCTTTTTGTTCGTTGAAATCTCTACTTTCTGATGGTGTAAAAAAATATACATTACTATGGTAAATGTTCTCAGAAAATGCAAAAAATATTATAATGAATAACGAAAAAAACTCGAGTTCGAAAATTTATTTTAATCATTGTGTAGGTACAATTTCATCAAAAAAATGTGATTGTTGCAATTTTTTTTAGTTAAAAAGTTTATTTATTAAATTTTAATAACATTTATGTCAGAAAATCTCATAAAATATAAAAATACATGTAAATCATACTATTGAATTTAGATACTTCATTCTGATTACGTTATTCATTATAATATTTTTTGTATTTTCTGAGAACATTTACCATAGTAATGTATATTTTTTTTACACCATCAGAAAGTAGAGAGTTCATCGAACAAAAAGCACACCGACTTTTTGAAAAAAGCTGATATTTTGACGCGAGAATTTTCGATTGAAAATTAGGGTGCTTTTTTGATATTAAGTCAAAATAAGGCGAAATAATAAATATTTCAAATCAAATAAATTACAGTGTATTTGGGACATAAAAAGGTAAGTTTTCACCAAATTTCGTGGAAAAAAATTTCTTTTTAAAAAAGATAAAAATAAAAAACCAAAAACTTGGTTTTTTAAATTTTTCACATAAAATTTGAGGTTATGTGAAAAAATTGTAAATACAAAAGTTGTAGATCTTTTTATTACCTACAACTTTGACATTTAACTTTTTTCCATAGCACTTGTAGTTTTGCCGGAAATCGAGATAAACCATTTTTTACCCTTAAACCCCCCCCCTCCCACTTCCCGAACGCAGATCGCCCGTAATTTATTTTTCCTTTAATTTTTATTATATTCCCCTTCTTTTCCAATGGGTTTCATCCTACTGTTATTTTTTTTCTCTTTTTACCATTTTTAAAGGCTTCTGCACTGGTCTATAAACTGATAAATTAAGCAACAATTCTAAATATAATAAATAACAAATAAATTATAATTAAAACTTATTTTTTATGTCTTCTATTTATTTCATTTACCGCCTCCTAAAATTTGCCGCCGGGTGCAGTTAGTACCTCTGCACCCCCCTAAATCCGGCGCTGGTGAAAACTCTTAATCGACAAATTTATTGAAAGTATTAATTTGAATTAATTACTAATAATTTTAAGGATTTAATATAAATTATATGTCAAATTTAACACAGTACTGAATGTTATGAATGCCCCCTATTACAATCAGTATTTTTTTTACAGCGGTAGGTATGTTTTTAATTAATGCCCAAGTATTTTCAAAAAATTCAATTGCTAGATTATGATAGTTAATTAATCTTTGTTTGTATAACCCACTTAACAAATTTATATAAAACTGATAATATTTTATCAGAAAACAGACAAAGTTTAATGCAAAGCAGTTTATGTACTTAAATCTTAAAATAACAAAGAGGTTTTTACATTAAATTAGTTTACTTTTTTATCTTGTTTTTGTTATGCGTTTTACCTTTTTTTGTACACAGCAATATAAATGTAGTGTTGGTGAAGATACAGACTAAAGTGAACCAAAATGGAGCTACTTAACACTAAAATAATTGCAGTGTTAGCATTGGGAATAAGCACGTTGTTTGTCGGATTATTACCAGCATGTTTTAGCAAGCAGAGCACGCAATGGCCCCTATTGCTCTCCTCCATGCTGTGTTTTGGAGGAGGCGTTTTACTCTCAACTTCAATAGTACACATCCTCCCTGAATTAAGGGAGGACCTACCAGACCACGCCGAACTGATATTTTGTGCCGGATTTTTTATTCTTTATTTATTAGACGAAGTAGTCCATTATTTCTACGGAGAAACGCACGATGGCGAAATAATATCGGTTTTCAATGGAAGTCACAGTCATTCCCCCTTAAGAAGACATTCTTCCCACTATGGGTCCACAGAAAAAGACCCTCTTGTGATGGAGCACAGACAGCCCCCCTACAACCCGAGCTTTTTTAAGGCGAGAAGTGAAAGTTATTTGATTGAGGAAGATAGGGCCCCTTCACAGTTGTGTCATGTTGGGCATCAGGAGCCTTGTCACACTACACCTACAGTCAACATAGGTTTATTAGTTGCTCTGTCAGTGCATGCTCTTCTTGAAGGGTTGGTAGTGGGTCTAGAAAGTCTACCTCACCAAGTAAGTTTATTTTTTATTATTTCATAAGGGGACATCCATTAATTACGTGAGATAAAAATAGGGGGAGAGGGGTCTAGCAAAATCTCACCAAATCTCATGTTAAGGGTGGGGGGGATCATTAAAAATCTCACGTCAACTTTTGGGTTTAAAGAATATGTATTATTATTCAAATTTGTCAAAAAAAAAGTAATCAATTTTTATTTTTTGGGTTTATCATGTCCGCAAAGAAAGTTTAATGGCTAGAATCTCACGTGAGGGATAGGGGGGGTCTACTACATCTCACCAAGGGGGAGGGAGGGGTCCAAATTATCAGAAAAATTCCTCACGTAATTAATGGATGTCCCCTAAACCCCAAGATGCTATTGAATAAATGTTTTTATTTGTTTTTAGGTTTTACTATTATTAGGTGCCATTGCTTCCCACAAACTGGTGGTGGGTTTTGTGTTAGGTGTTGAATTAGCCTCAAATACTTCTACGACATACTGCAGACACTTTACATGCATATTTATCTTCACCTTAGGTTCTGTAGCTGGCATTATATTGGGCATGATAATTACAAACACACAAAATGATTTTATAACTGTGATAATACCTATTTTACAGGTAATTATTTAATATTTAATTAAATTTTTAACAATTAGGTTGGTAATTAATAAAGTAGGAGGATAAAAGGAATTTAAATAAATTTTTATTATTGTTTAACTGAATTTAACCAGAGATCACCCAACAAAAGTTGAAAATTAACATTATTTCCAGAATTTGTACCTAGTCCCCGAACAACATTCGTGATATTCATACGAACATCATGTCGTGATTTTCACAAATTTTATTCATACTGATATCATACGGAAGTCACCGCGTGATAAATGAAAATCATACGAACGTCACGTCGTGATTTTCACAAATTTTATTCATACGGACATCATCCGGATGTCACGCGCGTGAGAAATGAAAATCATGTCGTGATTGTTTATGCCAACGGTGTTTGGATAATCATTTTTGCGCTACGTTCGTACACTAAGAGAAAAATTATGATGAATCAACAGTTTTTGCGGTTAAATACATTCAATATTTTCTTAAATTAGTTAATTAATTTAATTTAAATTAACTTAATTTAATTTAAATTAATTTAATTTAAATTAACGATATATAGTTAATTTAAATCCAAGAAAATATTGAATGTTAAACTGTTAATTCAATTGTTAACATACTTTTTCTTTCAATGTACGAATGTGTCGCAAAAATGAATATCCAAACACCGATGGCATACAAAATCATGTCGTGATTTTTATGACCACACAACGATGGCATAAAAAATCATGTCGTGATTTTTTATGCCATCGGTGTTTGGATATTTATTTTTGCGCCACATTCGTACATGAGAGAAAAAGTATACCTACATCAACAGTTTTTGTGGTTAAATACATTCAACATTTTTTTGGATTAAAATTATTAGTTAATTTACATCCAAGAAAATATTAAATGTATTTGACCGCAAAAACTGGCAATTCAATTGTTAACATACTTTTTCTTTCAATGTACGAATGTGATGCAAAAATAAATATCCAAACATGTCGGTGCACCGATGGCATAAACAATCATGTCGTGATTTTTTATGCCCAAACGCCGATAGCATAAAAAATCATGTCGTGATTTTTTAGGCCATCGGTCAATCGCAAACAGTGATGGCATAAAAAATCACATGATTTTCATTTCTCACGCAGTGACATCCGGATGATGTCCGTATGAATAAAATTTGTGAAAATCACGACGTGACGTTCGTATGATTTTCATTAATCACGCGGTGACTTCCGTATAATATCAGTATGAATAAAATTTGTGAAAATCACGATGTTCGTATGAATATCAAGAATGTTGTCAATTAAAAAAGATATTCCAATGTTTAACAAAACGTTCACGTTCACGTTTTTTTAAACATTGGAATATCTTTTTTAATTGAACCCGGACAACATTCGTGATATTCAAACAACGTTTTATAAATTATAACGGTGTAATGTGAATAACAAACAGGTTTTAAATTCGCAGTTCGCAGGGCTCATACGCATGCGCAAATTTTGCAAATATCACACCGTGAGTTCTACATGATATCACTGTGATGAAGCATGTGTAGGTATGCACTCAGGATATCACAGCGTGATAAAAAAAATCACGTTGTGATATCATCATGACTTCACCAGGAAATCCCGATTGTTGTCCGGGTCTTTCTTTAAGATCAACAAATATTATTGGGAAATTGCGGGAATAGGTGAAACCTGGGAGTATTGCTTTTGCTTTAATGCAAATGATTAGGGACATCAAATATTACTTTTGTAATGGCATTTCCAAAGTTTTTTTTATGACCTACCATCCTTAAGTTTGTATTGGAAGTTGGGTAGTTAGTCTACTAATTTTTTGTTTTTATGAACAATTAATTGTTTGACTATTGGGAACATATTTTTGCTTTTAAAGACTCTCAAATTTTTATATTTCTGTGATTTATAGAAAATACGCGGGAATTTTTGTGTAACATTAATATTTTTAGTGCACTAAGGTTTATTAAAATAATTTTATCTTATTTAAAGGGTTTAGCTGGAGGAACCCTTTTGTATGTGACTGTAAGTGAAATAATACCAAGAGAAAGAGCCAGATGGCATCAACAGCACAACCAAAAGTCCGCGGGAATTTTTCAATTCATTTCTGTGGCCTTTGGATTTGTACTTATGACTATAGTTACTAAATACTTAGGTAATAGGATATTTTTTTAAAATTGTTTTAATACATTAAGCTATTAACTATTTGTTTTTTAGATTATGATGGACATTAACAATCATTATATGGACTATAATGAAAATGTGATATTTTTTACAATTTAGTGCTGTTTTTTAAGGTATTTAATATTTGTTGTTAATATTATTACTTATTATTGTTAGTGACAATTTATAAATGTTTTTATAATAAAAAATTTACTCATCAAAGTTTGAAAAGTCCTTTAATAAACTCAACACAAAGCAAGATTGAACAAAACATGAACATTATGAACTTTTAGCTTCTCTGATTACATATTACTACATGCCCTTCTACTTACCTATCTATTGTATTATGATTTATTAACAGTCTTCAAATAAAAACCAATAAGGTATAATTAAAATTTTTACTTATAATACAATGGGACCTAAACCTACAATGTAACTTCACCTCCATCCTCAACAACTCCTTCCATCTCTTCACCAGACTCCTCCATTCCTTCATGCATCTCTTCTTCTTGCTTTCTTCCTTTAAGTCCAGCAGCTGGAGACCTGATAAGAGATAAATCTCTTTGAACTTCTTTAACATCCCTCTCAGTTTCAAGTTCTCTGCCTTTACGAAGCCTTTGCATGACAAACGCTCTTTGTCTTTTTTGTTTTATTCCTTCAACCTTCTTCATAGCTTCAATTGCCTTGGTCCAGGTCTGTCTGTCGTATTTAAGTGGAGTGTGACGACGTGCTTCAAATTCAAAGGATGGGTCAATCGCCAATTCCTTGCCCACTGTTTTCCTGTACGCTTTAGTCCATTTAACTTTACGTGGGTTCTTCTTCTTTTTAAACGCAGCATGACATTTGGAGCGACAGAATTTGAATATCTAAAAAAAAGTTTGGTTATGTTTTTGTTTTTAATTGGTTCTTGGGTTTCAAGGAATTACTTTGCAGTCATTTCTTACGAACTGAATTCCATGTCCAGGATATATCCTGGACGAACAAAAATAACACGTTTCAATACGCATTTTTTTTTATTCACACGCAGACGTCAATTTGACTCTACACGTGCTAAATATTTTGTTAGAAAGGATTACCAACTGCAGAACTTTATACAAAATATCAATAAATCCCTAAACCAGCGTTGCCAGACCACGAAAAAATTCTGTACTGATTTGGAATGAAAAAAGTACTGATTTTACTGAATACTGTTTTACAAAAACATTTGGGATTTTGTTATATTTGGTTATATTTCTTGTATCTATTAATTGTTAGTACTCGTACTCGACGAACTTGACCCTCCGGGCCGGAGGCTCCGGCGGTCACGCAATTTAAAACATACCAATATAGGTATTTCTTAGCATTTTAATCCCACGTTACTACCCGCCTGTGGAACGTACCCAGCACCAAAAAAAAAAAGGCTTTGTTATCTATGCCCAGCACAAAATGCTAACCTGGACGTGGAGTGAATACAAAATAATGCACTTGGACACAAGGCGAGATTTGCAAAGTGCACGTTTTTTAACGAAATTGGTAAGGGGTACAGTTGACTGCGAATACTTACTATCGAAGATTCAGTTTCATGTTCCGAGGAACAACTCAAGAACTTCTGTCTCCTTTCAAATTCCCACTGCCAGAACAAATATTTTATCAAAAGCACCAATAACAACCATGTGCAAAAATGGAAATGAGCTATTAGGTAGTTGATATATATTATTTAAATAATTTGATGACTATATTTGACAATTTGCACCGTGATCGCTTTTTATTTTTTTGAAGCATCAACAATCTAATGGTAGGTGTCAATAAAAAATTAATTGGGATTGTATTTTATATTAAAAATGGCAAACAACAGTGCATAGGCCTCTTTACACCAATGGACGAGATTATTTTACTTTAAGTTCATTTTTACGATGTTATACCTTGCATTTTGGAAAACGTACTGCAACAGTTGAAATCAGTACATTTTAAGGGGTGTCAGTGCTACTTTCATAGTTACTATGAAAGTAGCACTGACACCCTTAAAATGTACTGATTTCAGTACAAAAGCACTGGCACTGGCAACGCTGCCCTAAACCAAATAAATCACTCAGTGCTGACAACTACGAGCAATCAATAACCCTGAATAATCTAGGGTTTTTTGTGTTCTCTGCGTAGCTAAATTTGTTGTGATGTGAAATATGGTGGATGCGATAATTTTTCAGTCTGCAAGTGAAAAAATTTTCTAATCAAATTGATCGTTTTTCATAAGTGAATTTACCATGGCAGAAGCAGCTATAGAAGAAAGACCTCCATTGAGGTTTTATTGTCATGTTTGCAATGTGCAGTTTCAGAATGCTTCAGCTGTAAGTGATTCAATTCAACTGAGAATTATCAAAAACGTCAACATTTTCATAACATTTTAGAATTTTACGTGTCCACATTGCTCAGATGGATTCATTGAGGAACTGCAGGAAAATGCAGAGGGTACTGAAGACATAGTTGATGAGGACTGGGAGGATGAGGATGTATGTCATATTTTACTTAGCCCCAATTATTTGATAAACAACTCTAATTTAAACTAAGTAGTAGCTTCATCATTACTCATTAAAAATGCTAGAAGTCAAATTTTAATCACTGCTGTGCATTACCATTTTTGTTGTGATAAAGCTTCTAAATTACATTCTAAATTACATACCTATTTCTACTTATTAAAGTGGGTAAGACGGAATGCTTGGTGTTTAAATAATAAAGCCAGAACCACAAATTTTGGGGTATAGGCTCTTAGATTGTTTTATCACCAAACAATGTGTCTTGGCAACTTTAGTAAGAAGAAATTAGAGACTTCAACAGAGACCGGACAGGATTGTCAATGTCATGGTTTAAACATATATTTCCTGCTGCGTTTTTAAACCACTTGGCTGGAAAAACAGAATAATTTCTTCTGTCCTTTTTAATTTGGTGAAAATTTACTTTATCTTTTTGATAGTTTTTATTTTACAGGTTATATATTTTTGAAATATTTTATCATAGGTGTGTTTTAAACAACATGGTTATTATAATAATTTCAATGACATAATTCATATGTCACTAATATTTGTTTGACCCAATGTGACAAATCAAATTAATATCATACCAAGTTGGTATTACCAACCATAAACAACATAATATTATCAAGTCACAGTAAAATTTCCGTAGCCGGCTTTTGCGAAAACGCAGAAAAAAAATTATGAAAATGGCTTAAAATGGCCCACTTTTAAAAACTTTAGGAAAAAAGTCGGGGGGGAAGGTGTTTTTAACAATTTTATTTTACATACATTTATACACAGTAGACTGGGCCAAAAAAATCGACTATTTTTTTTTTTGGAAAGTATATCGAAAATATTTTTTGGGGTGACAAAAAAAAATTATGGTGAAAGTTTGAGTCCATAATATTAATATTAAGAGGTCTATCATCGCAATTTTATATTTTTTTTTCCTGAGCGATTTTTTGTCTCAGAACTCCCAAATCATTGAGTTTAACAAAATTGACTTAAAAATATTTTTTGAAAAAAATTGAATGCTCTACAAAAAAAGTTTGATTTGAATTTCCCGTCAGATGAACCGTTATCTTAATAATGCCTTAAAAATTGGTATAGTTTTACAATTTGATCTTTTAACTGGAATTTTGTAATTCAAGTAAAAATCAGTACCCTGAAAAAAACGATAAATATTCTTATGGGAAATCAAATTCTCTACAAAAAAAGTCTTTTATCATTTTTGGCTAAATTCACTCCATCAAAAGTTATTCAAGGTTAAATTTGAAGTCAAAACGAAATTTTAACCTTGAATAACTTTTGATTGAGTGAATTTAGCCAAAAATGTTAAGAGGCTTTTTTTGTAAAGCATTTGATTTCCCATAAGAATATTTATCGGTTTTTTATGGGTACTGATTTTTACATGAATTACAAAATTCCAATTTAAAAGATCAAAATGTAAAACTATACCAATTTTTAAGGCATGATTTTAAGGAAACGGTTGATCTGACGGAATATTTCACTTTAACCTTTTTTGTAGATCATTTAATTTACTTAAAAAAATATTTTCGAGTCAATTTTGTTAAACTCAATGGTTTGGGAGTTCTGAGCCTAAAACTTGCTGAGAAAAAAAAATAAAATTGCGATGATAGACCTCTTAGTATTATTATTATGGACTCAAACTTTCACAATAATTTTTTTTGTCACCCCAAACCATATTTTCGATATACCTTTCAAAAAAAAAATAGTTGATTTTTTTGGCCCAGTCTAATACACAGTGCATTAGGGATGGTCAAAAGTAACCAGTTATTGCAATTTAGCAGTTAACTGGTTATTTTTAAACTATGGTTTAACCGGTTAATTGTTTACTAGATGTAATAACCGGCGAAAAAGGTTATTGTGTGGGTCACTGCACCTTGATTTTGCATAAGCAACAAATAAATAAGATTTGGGAAGAGAAAGCACTCCTCAAAGGAGGTTTATTTTGGCAATGTTGGCTATGCCATATAGTTGCCTGCACTGATCTATCAGTGGTGGGCCAGGGCTGGATGGTCCCGTGGCCGAGTTTTGGTTCGTGCCGAGCATGAAGTCACTTGAGGAGTAGTTGCCGTGCGAATACACGAATAATAGTAATATTATCAAAGAAAATAGAGAAATATCTGGACATAGTGCGTTTTTATTAAACTCAATATTAAGTGTTATAATATGGATAATAGATGCTTTTAGTCCTTGATAACATTTAGGGCTATAGTTTAAGAGTTGGTGTTTTAAATTAAACTTATACCTAGTCACTGTCCGAATTGCATGAAAATATGCCACTCCGCATTTTAATAAATGCAAATGGCACGACGCAACACAAAAACAATAATAAACAAACAGAACAGGTTAACACAACAAAATAACAATAATTTGAACACTGAAAAGTAGTTTGAACCTTACTGAACGGAAAAACAACAAGTTAAACAAAAAATAGAGCAAGTTAACATCCAACAGCAGGGTTTTGAATATCATAAAATTGGTTAAATTGTCCTAAAATGTAATAAAATTCACATTTTGTCATAGAAATCATAAAATTTCATTATTTTTTAACAATTTTCTCACCTTTCCTCTTTTTTTATAAAATGGAAATTTTGTAAAACAAAATTTTCCTGTGGAATAAAACTCAATAATAGTACACTACAAGGGCAGAAAGTGTGAGATTCCTGCACTTCAGGGCTCTCACACTTTCTGCCCGTGTAGTGTATACTATTTTTCTTGCTACCCCGCAGAAAATACGCGAAAAAATTAAATGTATATAAAAAAACTTGTGTCAAAATTAAAATCTGACGTTTAATTTAATTCTGACGTTTACATTCAAAATCAATCAAACTGTAGCGTTGTCATGGTAATTCAGCGGTGCCAATACAGTAAAAATAAAAGGTTGTATTTTAATTAACAAATTACTACTTTATAACAAATAAAAGTACCATTGAACACTTAAAACAACATAAAAAGTAAAAAAGTAAAAACATAAATTGTTTATTTGTTGTTATAATTGCAAAATTATGGTTTAAAACTGTCATATTTTTGTGTTTCTCATGTTGGCAGTACGAAATTTGAATGTTAAGCACACGACTAAAAAATGTTTTGGATACAGCCTTGGTTGTTGACGTATGAACTTCAAACTATGTAGGAAGAAGAAGAAAGCCCGCTGCACAATAGCCCGGTAACGGGAACGGGAACGGGAATCCTAACAATAAAGGTGGGAGAGACTAAAAAAACACTGTTGATAGATAGGGTTTGCTGAGTCTCTCCCACCTTTACCGTTTAGTTTCCCGTTCCCGTTACCGGGCTGTTGTGCAGCGGGCTTAAGACTAGGTTAGGAAATAAATTTTAAATTTCAGAATTTGAAATAGTAAAGTTATTTGTTACTTTATAAAAGAAAGGAAGAAAGCGCAAAAACAAAGAAGGACTTGAAGAAATTGATAGTAGTTTGGCAAGTAAGGCTAAGTAGGTACCTTAAAAATACGACTACTTTTAAAAAATCTGAAATATGGGAGGCTCAAACAATGATTAACATGGGTCTCAAAAAGCAGATGTAGTTTTATTTATTTTGAGATTATAATACTTATTATAATAAGATACAAAAGTAACAAAATATAATAAAAGCGAGAAAAAATATTAATTTTTACACCGTTAAAAAATTACATATTTTTTATTAAAATAACTTTGGAAATAATAAATTCTTGTCATAAAAGGTGTCATAAAATTGGGAAACCTGCAACAGCATCGCAAAAACAAGAATTTTAGCAGCAGATAATTAAAGATTTAAAAATACTCAACAAGTGACTTATTTAATCTGATTAGGGCCAATCAAAATCAAGTATGGTGTATGACGTTTTCCATGTGTTTGAAATTAAATCGTCCATAAGGCAAATAAAATATCACGTAATTTTTTTTCGATAAAAACAGTGTTAAATTAAGTAAAAAATGTTTCTCTACTAAAATAGGATTAAATCATACCTAATAATATTAATCGCTGTTTAATTATGCACTGATAGAAAAATTTATTAACTATTAATAAATTCATTTATTTTGAAACAATTCATTAATTTATTAAATATGAATAACTGTTCATAAATATTGATTAAATAATCAAATTTAAAAAAAGTTTGGAACATCCAAAAGTATAATTAATAATAGTGGTAATTTAATAGTAAAAAAATATAAAATAAAAAATTAAATTTTTCTAAATAAAAAAAAATATATTTTTCTTTACTTTTATTATTATACATTTTAAAAAATCACGTGAGATTAAGGGCGGGGAGGGGGTCGAGCAAAATCTCACTATATCTCACCAAGGGGAGGGGGTCGAAAATTCGCCAAAATTGCCTCACGTTATAATGCATGCCCCCTAATTAGGTTAGAAAGTGTCTACTCTGACAGTAGTACTGTCACGCACAGATCCTAAAGGTGCTGTCACGCAAGAAGACTTAAAGTAGGAGGTAAAACTTTTGGATTAGATATTTTTGCGAAAGAGCGAACAATTTTTTATGAAAATGGCTCCAAATAGCCCACTTTTGAAAAACATTAAAGAAAAAATCGTAGGTTAAGTGTTTTTAACAATTTTTTAACAGTAAATAATATAACGCAATATACCTAAGTTCATGTAGAATGCACTGCCAAACTCAAAATTAGGTTAAGTGTCAAGATATTTATGTTAAGTATGTGTGTACAAAACAGCAATTGGATGAAATAATTCCCAATGACATAGAGCTAAAATTGTAGCTTTAATCAGTTGTTAACAGTCACTGTTAATGCAGTGTCGCTAACAAATGAAAACGTTCGTCAGGTCTGTGACTGGCATTTTATTTAATTTAATATAAAGTTTAAACGTGACTGCCCTTCGACTTGCAAAACGTTTGACAGTTTGAATTACAGTTTCATTGTAAATTCCAATTTAAAGTTGATTATTACCAAATTGAATTTGTTTGTTTCCAATTTGACTTTGTTTATTCCCATTTTTAACGTGATAGTTACCAATTAAAAGTTGACTTGCAAAACGTTTGACAGTTTGAATTACAGTTTCATTGTAAATTTCAATTTAAAGTTGATTATTTCCCTCATTATAATATGAACCAATCAATAGCCTTGTATTTTCGAATAAATTTCGTTTAAATAAGCGATTACATCACTAGAACTATTTAACAGCGATTAAATTTTAGCCTCCATATTGGATTTTTGTTTACGATTTTATGGTGTTATTTACAAGTTTTAACAAACATTTTTTAAAAAACAATAAAAAATAAGTTATATAGTTTACGAAATATCAATTATTACTTATTACATACCTTTAAAAAATTATTTATAAATTTTGACACATACGTCAGATTTTATGAATTGTCAAATAGTTTCCTTTAATTCGAGAAATAATCTAGACGTATATCACTCAACCCAAAATTTAATCTGTCAAACTATGCTCAGTAAGTTTTTTATTTGATTTTTCTTTTTGGAAAATAGTTTCATGCAAAATAATTAAAAATAAAACCCCTCGACCGCTACGCGGTCTCGAGATTTTATTAAATTATTTTGCATTCAACATTTTCCAACAAAAACCAAACAAAAAACTACTGAGCCTGGTTTAACCGATTAAATTCATAGTTCTCGTGATATAATATATGATTATTTCCCTCAATATAATATGAACCAATCAAAAGCCTTGAATTTTCGAATAAATTTTGTTTAAATAAGCGATTAAATCACTAGACCTTTTTAACAGCCATTAAATTTTAGCCTCCATATTGGATTTTTGTTTACGATTTTATGGTGTTATTTACAAGTTTTAACAAACATTTTTTAAAAAACAATAAAAAATAAGTTATCTAGTTTACGAAATATCAATTATTACTTATTACATACCTTAAATTAATGGAATTTTCTTTAAAAAAATATTTATAAATTTTGACACATACGTCAGATTTTATGAATTGTCAAATAGTTTCCGAGAAATAATCTAGACGTATATCACTCAACCTATAAATTTAATCTGTCAAACTATGCTCAGTAAGTTTTTTATTTGATTTTTCTTTTTGGAAAATAGTTTCATGCAAAATAATTAAAAATACGCGGTCTCGTGATTTTATTAAATTATTTTGCATTCAACATTTTCCAACAAAAACCAAACAAAAAACTACTGAGCCTAGTTTAACCGATTAAATTCATAGTTCTCGTGATATAATATATGATTATTACCAAATTGAATTTGTGTGTTTCCAATTTGACTTTGTTTATTCCAATTTTTAACGTGATAGTTACCAGTTAAAAGTTGATTAATCCCAACTTGAAATTGTTAAATTCCAAATTAAAAATGATTAGGTCCAATTTTAAGTTGAAAAGGTATAGTTGTCTTAGTAGTTTTTTGGTAATACAGTCATAGCCTGGAGCTGTGTTTTTTTCCTTTATAGAGGATATCAAAATATTCTTCCTCACTAGTACTTTCAGATGTCAAAGGATGATCTTTTGCTGTAAAGTTGGCATACCATTGCGAGACCTCATTATGATGGGCTACACAGAAGTTTGCATCTATACTTTTTTTATAGGTGTCTTCTAAATAGTCTGCAAATAATTTAAGTTTTTCGTTAGTTGTTTCCTATGTCCTGCCATTGTCAACTAGGAGTGTATTAAACAGGTTCGAAGTGCCCTTATACTTAGTTAATTATTTCCAGTAAGTTCTTTCATAGTTTTTTAAAAAAAATTCACAAGCTGTTAAAAGTGTTTATTTCTTTTTTTAATAGCGGATCTTCCAGATTTTTATACTCTATAAAGTTTTCGTTTTAGGAGAATTATTTCTATTATTATTCTTGACAAAAGCCAATGATTAAAACAATTTAAAATTAAAAAAATTTATTGTGCCGTTTTTGATTTTGGGCTAAACACGTTGCTATAACCATAGCAGTTAAGGGTTAAAATCCTATATGCAATAAGACTAAATAAAGAAGGAGCAACTTTCGACCACAAGGCATATGTTACCCCAAAGAGCATTTTCCGCATCCGTAGGTTACTAAAGTCGCCGCGGCGAATGTTTTTCGTTGCGTCATCAATATCAAATGTCAAAAACCGGTTTGTCGATACACGTCCGGCTACATTCTACATACGTATACAAAGAAAACAGCCTTAATAGCAGTAACTGTAATGTCTGTGCTTGGTTTACAAATTGATGACACAACGAAAAACATTCGCTGCGGCGACTATACTAAAGTACGCATACGTATAGTGAACACTATTAGAGAAATACATGTAGGTATATCATTACTTTTCTGCTCGAACCATATAGAAAGGAAACTACTTTCTTCATGGCTCGAACCCAACTCTGTGTGCCGTAACAAAAATCTTTCCTTTTACCCCTGCAAAAAAAAAATTCGAGTTGGAGAAATACCGGTTTAAGTTAAATAAATAGTCAAATTATAAAAATTCGACCTAGAGATAAAAATATATGTAAAATGATGCGAAACATCAGTGTTCATGAAAAAAAAATCGACTTGGAGAATAATTCGAGTTAGAGAAGTTTTACTGTATGTACAGCGTTAAACCAGAGATACTTACCTATACCTATTAGTAGTAGTAGTAGTAACCCTTAACTGGTGTCGTCATATTTACCCTACAAACCATATCGTCGTCGACATTCTAAACTACCTATAATAATGACGTTAATTTACAATGATTTAGCTTTGTCTAATATCCTCTACTTATATTACAAATGTAATAATACTGTGATATATTTTTTTAATTCAAAAACGACATTTTTTGTCAGCACAGCATCTCAAACTGACATTACGACTGACGATGAAAATGCTGGGGGCCGTAAAGTGACCGATGTCGACATTTTTATCAACATTTGCGCCGACATGGTTTGTAGGGTAGTAACGTATCGTCGGGTCATTTAAGACCCGGAACTTTTTAATAGCAATTAGGTAAAGAACTGATACGGAATACTTTATATATCGCCTTATACTCAATGCAATGCATACAACAGGTTCAAACACATGTAAATGTAAATTTCTAGTAAACTTTAAATTCTAAGCCAAAGAAATAAATATACACGTTTTTCTTTATGAAAATAAACGTGTTAAAAATATTACAGATGTTTAACTTCATCAAACATTTTTAAGAAAATAACATTATGGACAGTTGCCTAATAATTGTTGATTGTTTCAACCTTTACTTAATGACTTATTAATATATGAATAAAAAACAACACTGTTTTAAAGTTTTACTCTTTTATTTATGTTTTTTTAATAATTAACAATTGTTTCACTACACAGTAGCTTCTTCAGAATTAGTACATATTTTTATTAAGTGGCGGTATTTATATTAGCTAATGCAGGTATTTAAAAAAATAAGTGTTGTATAAACATTATACCTGAAGGTATTAATAAAACTTACACAATTTTGGAAAAACCATGGATTTAGAAAGTCTTATCTAATATAATTTTACAATATTAATAAATATTTTTTTTAGTACTACAGATATACATTCTAAAATAAATTTAGCAAGGTTTCAATTTGGTCATTAAGAAGAATTTCAGATTTTTTATTAATTTCTAAAGATTCCAGAAGATTTAGTTTGCTACCTTTATTGGCTACATGTAATATTCTAAAGTCATCATCAAATTTGTGGTTCTCTTGTAATAGATGGTTAGCATATGAAGAATCATGTTTAAGGTTTATATAGAATTTCTTGTGTTCTTTAATTTGTGTATTAAAATTTCGTCCCGTTTGGCCTGTATATGTTTTCGGATAGTCTCGGATTTTGAGGATTTTGATGTTTTATCTTTGTTGTTTTTGATAAACTTACTAAGGTTGTTGTTAGTTTTAAATGCTACATTACTCTTGATTTTATTAAAGAAATTAGATACATGTCTCATATTAATACCTAGATATGTACAACTGTTGTATGTATTTATGTGAATCTTAGATGTTGGAAATCCGTTATTGATAGCTATTTTGTGATTTAAGATTTTGTTAATTAGTTGTGCATCATAGCTGTTTTAAACAAATAGGTTTAATTACGTTTAATTCGTAATTATAATCTATTTCTGATAATGGAATGAACGGGTCTATGGACCATAGAGTTAAATAAGGCTATTTTGTGTGAAAAGGGGAGAGAAGAGTTTTTATGTATAACTATATCTGTGTAGCTGGGTTTGTGAAAAATTTTGAATGTGTGGTGTCTATTCTTTTTTTGGATTGTTAGATCCAAATAATTAATAGAGTTATTTATTTCTTCTTCCATTGTGAATTTAATGCTAGGGTGTGTTATGTTGTTGTCGTTTTGTACATGTGAAGCAAGTTAGGATATCGTCTACATATTGGTACCAATATAGGATATGATCAATATATGGATGTTTGTGTATAATTATCTCTAATTGGTTCACAAAAATATCCGCTAATAAAGGGATTACCTATGATTAGGCCATTATGACTCGTATATATTTTATTGTTAGATTAGAAGTAATTTTGTTTTAAAACATGTTTCTAATGTGTTTATGACATGTTAGCTTCATTAAAAATGTTACAGTCCATTTTGCAAAATAAGGCACGTGCACTGATTATTAGAAACTGACACTTAATGTGTCGATTAATACACACACCCGCCGTGAAGTCACGAAACCTCTTCCCCTTAAACGTGAAAACAAGCGGGTCAAAAATGACCAGTTAAGGGTTAATATAATACTGAAATACCTTTATTTTTAGATGGACAGTATTTTCGCTAGTTTTGTGCCCGATCAAAGGGGCAGAACAAGGTCATCAGAGGGTATTCGACCCGGAAGAAGGTACGCAAACTCAACACGTGCCAGGATAGTGAGGCCCAGGTTGGAATAATTTCTTAAAATCTAAATACAAAATATATGCATGTAGTTAAACACCTGACAATCTATCCTTGCCATCGTTGGCGAATTCTACACCCAAAATACAGTTTACACAAAAAATTACCTATTGATAATTGTATAATTTTTAGGACACTAACTCGTCTGGCTTCGTCAAATTTGCGTCAAAATAACGTGCCTTTTGAACACCTACTGCAAGATTTTATAATTAATTTGGGCGTTGGGGTGAACATAGGTAACAACATGCAGTTGTTTTTGGGAAATCCTGGTGATTATGCATGGGGCAGAGAAGGATTGGATGCCATCGTCACACAACTGTTAAACCAAATGGACAGCACTGGTAAGAAAATAAACAAATAATGTATTTGATCTAAATACTAATGCATAATTACATGTCTTTACTGAAGAGTCTTAGTTCAAGGAATGTTTATATCAACTTATTGCGGTTTTGACAGATTATGACGTAGGTACTAAACTACATCGCAGCGGGGGGCCCACATTGACGGATGGCCGACCCCCAATTAAAACTCTCGTTATAGAGAGGTGGTCCCTGAAAACGTTTATGGTGGATCCCAACGGAAGCCTCAGGCTGGTCGACTTATGGGTTGTATACCCAATTCTCCAAAGGAACTACAAAAAGATTGAAATCTCTGTTTTCTTCACGTATAAGTTTCCTAAAGCCCGTATTACAGTGCGCAATTTTTCTTGTAGCAATATTCATTGCAGACTGTAGTTCCAAAGGCAGCTTGCTTAATACCAACAGAAGAAGTACAATTAAAATTAAACTTAGCTTCTGTTACACAACATTATAATTTATAATATGTAATAGAATTTAGAATATAAAGAAATAACACACATATGACTTTAAAAAAACAAACTAGGGAATTTCAATCCACAATTGGTATAAAAAAGTTTCCAAATTTTTTCGCAGCATTGAGTGACGAAATTGGGCACTCCCGAGTTATATTTTTTATTAATTTACCAATGTTGCAGAATTCCAAAATGTACAATAACTAAGAAGTAATGTTCTCAACTTTACCTCTTTGTAACTCCTTCAATTATCGAGCTAATTTTGTGTACTCCCTTATTGGTACTGAAGACCTTTTCCAGTTTAGATATACCCTGTATATCTAATACACCTATAATTCTATGGTTGTAGGGAAACAAAATATAGTTAAACACATTGCATTTTTTATATGCTGTGGAAAATTAAATAAAAAAAAAACTATACAAGTGTTGTAGTGTGACTTGAACTTAATGGTATTGTCAGAACAGTGTTTTGGTTTTTAGGTTACATCCTTTTTTATGGTTTTCTTGGATTTTTTACCTTTAAAATTTAATTCAATCTGAACAATATTGAAAATCTTATTTATGCAAGTATGTGTATGCACAAAATAGCTTGTTAATTTTGTACTTTATTGGTTCCAATTGTCAACATTACCAATGAAATCTAAAACTCCCTAGATCAAAACGTAAAAATGGCTGGCGATTCTATCTTCTTTTAATATAATGCGCAAAGGTACAAACGCAGTATAGTTCAAAATATGTTGGTAGGACTGTCCTAGGATAAGGTAATACGTGATTCACAGAGCACATCGGTTGCAACGCGTTGCCGCAATTAAAACATCCTGTAGTGGTAGGGATCGATGTTGCCTGGTTATCAATATTTTTTATGTGTGCAATGGTGTATTAATTTATAATTATTAATTAATAAATATGATATTATTTGGCAATTTTTTTTATGTCTTGGGACCCCTATGTGATCGGGGGCCCCAGGTGCTGCACAGTACTGCCCTGTAGGACTCGACCGATGCACGTATTAGCACGATCTGAGCGGCCAAAATTATTTCTATGCTTAAATGGTATCTAAACCATGCAAATAGATAAATTAACTTGTTTTTATCAAAACAAATGTTTATTTACAATACTTTTATTAAAAGGCATAATGGCGTATTGAGAAAAATGCTTAGTCAGTTTCTTACAATTACACATACATTTTCTTACACACAAAACACAGTACAATTAACCCAATGCAAAAGGCATTCAGCATTTTTGTAATTAACTTAGTTATTAAAATAAGTTATTTATATTTATTATATAATAATTTGTAAGTTTCTTACCTGGTGTATTAGGATCCATCACTTTTTACTTGTTAGATTAACTTGCGGTGCAAATATTCACTTAAAAACAGATTGTCTAATAGGCACGCGGAAAGGGCGTAAGCGGTTGGATAGGGTTCTCAGAAGTGTCCTCCAACGCAGGTTGTTGGTTTTAACGATGTCATTCAAACTTTGATAACGGGATTTTGGCCGCACAGATCTTATACCTGTATGTGCGATGGCTGAATTTTGCCGATGGGCCGATGCCGATTGTTATACTTAACTTTCTGCCGATGCCTATGCCGATGGCCATCAATAAAATAAAATTTAAAAAAAATATTTATTTTTTAAAGCATTAACAGAATTTTTTACAAACATAAAAAAGCAAAAATAAAATAACATACTGAAAAAAATATATAAAAATAAAAAAAGAAACAACTTAATATTTGTAGTCAATTAGTGGTAAGTTTTTTTTATTATCTAAAATAGTTGGATCGGCACCATCGGCATATATTTTTGCCGATGGCTGCAAATTGCAACCATCGGCGGCGATGCCGATCGGTCGAGTCCTACTGCCCTGTCTTAAGTCCGCCCCCGTATTTATCGATAAATTAACTTTGTTTGACTACAACTATGGTTGGATACTGGAGGTTCTCCAATGGAGGACAAAATTACATATACGCATCTGTCTCTTTCACTATTACTTCACTAGTCAAACAAATAGCAGAACGGGTCGAGTAGTAAAAAAAGAAAAAGACTCAGTCTTTGCTGTCTCACAGTCGTATTAGATATATCATATATCTAATACGACTGTATATATGATATCAAAGTTATGATGTTTTTTGTATAGTCAGAAAATATATCGTTCAACCATGTTAACGTCAGATAGCTCTTTATTTTGTTTTCATAGCATTTTTATATTTTATAGGTCCTCCACCAGTGTCCAAAGAGACCATAGACGCATTAACTGTGGTGGAGGTGACTGAAGAGCAGGTGCAGAGCAAGCTGCAGTGCTCTGTGTGTTGGGAGGATTTTAGGCTGCGCGAGAAGGTTCGCCAGCTGCCGTGCTTGCACATCTACCACGAGCCTTGCATACGTCCCTGGCTCGAGCTGCACGGGACCTGCCCCATCTGTCGACAGAATTTGGTAAACGCTGACCAGCCCAACAACGACGGAAACGAAGACTCGGGAAACAGCGGTAGGATTCACTTCTGATTAATATCTTGGAATATGCATGTTGGGCTTAAGCTACAGTGTATCTATTAGCTATTTACATATATTGATATATTTAAAATACAAATTTTCTTAAACATTTCTGAAAGTTCTGTGATTTTTTTTAACTATTCAATTTAAGTGACATTGACCCCAATCGCCAAAAAGTAATATGGCCCCAAAAAAGTATTTTCATTTAATTGTTTACCTATTAGATATTTCCTAAAGTAAGGAATAATGAATTAAACATTATATTTTTTACAATAATTATTAGGCTTACACATAAGAAAAGTCTGGCAAACTAAGAAAAAGGTGAAAAACTATTCTTATTAGAAATAATACCTAATTGACTTCTACTTTTAATATTATTATTAATATGTTATTGTGTAAATAAACTAATTTAACAGGTTAACTTAATTGTAAAAAAATCCAGCCTCAATGGCCACCTAACTTTTTGTATGGCAGGTGTTATATAAATACTTATCATGCACTGTTTAATTTCAAAAATATTCTAAAACAAAGAAACCCACTAATTTTCATTGTTTTTACTGTAATATCAGCAAATCTGCATAAAAAGTGCTGAATTTTTTTTTAAATTTTTTGGGTTCCTTTATAGACCCTCAAAATTTAAAGCAATTTGGAGACATGATCGTTTTTCGCGGCCGATATGTCTTGGAACATGTATAAAATGAAATGTTAAATTAGAGATTAAACTTGTAAATAAACCAAAAATTAAATTTTTTGGGAAATTGGACCTCTTTGGTACGGGTCCTGTAACGTTAATTAGCACAAGTGTAATTAAGTGGCCACAAAGAAGCTAAAACAGTTAAAAAAACTTTTTGGAGGTAAATCTCCATTACTAAAATAGTACATAATTAAAATAACAAAAATAGAACAATTTAAATAAGAATCTTTGACACAAAATATATTTAAAAAAAATTAAATGTTTTGAAGCATTTTAGGAATTATGGATAATTACTTATATCAATATAAACTAAAGATTTTGGTAATTATCCATAAACCCTAAAACGCTCAGTTATTATACAAAATAATTTAGAGAAAAATGGTTAAAAACCAAAGGGTTGGTAGGCCATGCCATGACAAGCGTTTTTGTGGTCTTGGAGATATATGTCCAAGCATATCCCCTATAGCTTGGTAGGGGGGGCGTTTCTGGACACCTGTCCTTAATACCAAAAATTGAGTAAACTAAGGATTAAAAAAATGTATTCAAAGTAAACAATATTATTTTTTATCTTATGTAGTATAACTTTTTTATCAGTAGAAAACACCCTGTATAATATTTTGCCATAAAATTATTACAATCTTGTATATTTCAATCCAAAAACAGGGTGTTTTATTATTTATTTAGATTAGAAAGTTAGTATTGTACCAGGCAAAACCAAAAAGGGTGTTTGTAAAAAAAATATATAAAATTAATAAAAATTTACATGAACTTTAGTTCCCTTTAAATTTTTTGTTATTCCAGTAATTTGTGAAATGTAATTCCCCCTCTACACAAACTTCACAATAACTTTGCAATTATTAATAATTTTCTTTTTTTTGTGACAAGTAATGTTGCACCTTTAAATATTTTAAATAATTGTACTTAGCAATTTTCTTCAATAAAAACGCATGATTTTTTCCTTGCTTGTTCCATTAATCAATTTTCAGTGCTGTAGCTGTCATGTCATCTGCATCTCTTCTCTTGTCAATTTTAAATTTTCTTATTAGATAAGCTAGATCTACTTTTGTTTATTCTTTCCAATTTCTCATTTTGAGTTATTCTGGAATCTTGAATTATCCTATCATTTAATACACCTGCTGTTAGTTGTTGAACAATGGCACTTTGTTCACCTTTTGATAATTGCTTGCCTCTTAGTTCATCAGTGTGCCCCACACAATGCAAATACTTCCTCCAGCCTTTTTAGAAGAGCTGACCAATCCTAATTATTAATAAAAAGTTACAAATAGGTCCAACTATAGGTAATATATCCACTAGGGTGGACCTTATTTTCGGATCTTCGTTTTTTTTTCACGCCGCCCTCTAAACTTTTTTCATTTTGTGAAAAAGTATCCTCTTTCAAATTTCAGATCAATCGGAGAACGAAAAGACGTGGCACATCGAATTTGAAATTTAGAATTTTCCGCTAATAGAAGAGGTAACTTATTTCTCAAATTTATGATGAATGTGTTGATATTATTAATAATTATTTATTGATAGTAAATTTTATCCATAAGAAGAATAAATGTCATGATGTTTTTCAATTCTTTTTCCTAATATATTGGTTTCATACAGCATAACAGTCAATGTAGGATTGTATGCGAGCCTACTTATTGTTACAAGCTGAGAACCAATAAATTTTAGCATGCTGACAAGAAACCTAGTAGAAAAAGGTGATTACTTGGGTTCTAGAGTTTATTTGAAGATAACATCTCTGCAGGGCGAGAAAATCACTCAATAAAGACGTCAAAACAAATAATGAAACGACGAATGAAAAAATGACGACCCATGGCCTAAGTGAAATTTCAGTTTTTGGCATTTTCTGCCATATATATTGAAAATATCCATAATGTGTTATATATTTTTGAAGTCAGAGTTTAAAGAGTTATTACATAAGGGTATAAAATATAGGTCATTCCATAGGAAAAAAATATATTTTTATCTGTAATATGTTTTTGAATCCCTCTGTATACGTAAACATAACACGAAAAAAAACTTGAAAAGTTGAACCCTAGAACTTTTATATAAAACTTTTTTGTCTAAAATCTAAAGGAAAAAAGTTAGGGGGTGGACATTTATAATGGATCACCCTGTACATGGGCCAGGGAATCGAACAGTTTATTTGGTACCTAAAACAGAATACTTGGCTAAATTGTACTACTTGGTAGGTATTTTTCATTTTTTACAAAAGTATTATTTTCTCCTATATATTTGTATATGAGCGATGTGCCACGTCTTTCCGTTATGTGATCGATTCCAGATTTTATAGAAATGATTTTTTCAATAAATGGAACAAATTTACGGGGCAGCGTGAGAAAAAAAATGTCTTATTTTTTCATATTATAGTTAAGGTCCACCCTTATATCCACGCTGTAAACTCTTCAAAATTACTAAAAAATAAAATAGTTTCTTTTATGCTATGTTTAATTAAATCCTTATAAAGTGGGAAAGAAGTCTCATTTGTGCATATTGGACATATAATATGCTTGGTTCTTTTAGGTCTCAGTCTGAATGTTTTGTCCTAATATGTCTATTTTTAGTAGATGTACTTGAAAATTTCATACTACAAAATTGACAAGTTAATTCATTCTTCCTAAAAAAGCACGTTAGTTACGTCATAATAATAATCAGTTTTTGTTCCCCGAGCGTTATAAAATTTATGTCAAGCTAGATGGTAGGGCGGTCGCTTAGCATGAGAGGTACCGGGTTCGATACTCTGAAGTTGTCGAACTTTTTTTATTTCATAAACTTGTTGTTTCTTTGTTAAAAAGTGTTGGGTTGGGTTGGTTGGTTTGGTTGGTTTTGTTTTAGTTTTATCGTAACATAAAATCTTAAAATTATGACGTAAAATAATTATGACGTAACTAACGTGCCTTTAACATTTCGAATCGCGGCACGTTAGCGTGCCTCTAATCATAGCGTAATTATTAATTAATTAATATGGAAATCCCAACCTAAGAATATAAAATAAGCAATAAATAATGAATGAATAACTAAGCAAAATGTGGATACTTCAATAATAACTCAATACACTTCAATAATAAGTTAAAAAATAGCACAAGAATAAAAATCAAGCTAGGCGTAGCAAAAATCCAACGGATTCTGTCAAAACGTATTTTGCCGCGAAACAACAACGAATTTATCCGAAACGAAGCGCCACTCGGTTCAGAATGATTTTGATTGGCTCGGCACGTTGGGAAATTAACGTATGCTGGTCTGTGACTGGGCTTCTAATGAAAGCATGTGCAACGCAAAGTTGCCAATGCCGTTAAAGACGCATTCTAGGCTGCCGATTTTTCTTGATACTCGACTAAAATTGAAAACAAATTGACGCGTTTCTCGGAAAAACATCATTAGTCCAAAATTAACATATTTGGGAAAATGAAAAAAACTCTCCGACATTCCCATTTTTGACCAAAGTACTTTATTGACCTATTTACTACATGTAAAAAAATGTAAGATACTTTGTCCAGAATTCCTCATGAAAAAAAATGAAAAAAACTCTCCGACATTCCCATTTTTGACCAAAGTACTTTATTGACCTATTTACTACATGTAAAAAAATGTAAGATACTTTGTCCAGAATTCCTCATGTTTTTTTTTCAAACAAATATGAAAAAAAAAAACAAAAAATAGATGAACATGTGAGGTTTTTAGAAGAAAAAAACGAACAATTCTCCTTACTACAAACACTACAAACTAAATATTAACTCTGAGCAACAAAATAAATGAAAAAACTAAAAACTGTATTACTGCCACACTCAGCCTTCGCATCCACTGCTGTTATCATCGTTGTCGACCGTGTTATCAGGACTGTCAGGTGCTATGGTCTTCTGGTCTTTTATCAAGTTATCATAAAATTTTCTATTGCTGTGGTCATGTAAAAGAGGTAGAAGCTTTTCTAGAGTGTCCAAAAACGTCACATGTTATGCACATGTGACTTTCTTAGACGAAACGGAGTGGACTTGTGATGTTTTTAGAAGAACAAGCTAAATTTCATATTTAATTATTATGGAATTTTTACGAGAAACACTTATTTGTATACGTATATATGGAGGTTAGGAAACAGTTGGTGCTTATATCTAAATTTCGACGATATTGGACTAATGATGTTTTTCCGAGAAACGCCTCAATTGTTCACACTTTTTAATATAAATCAAATCAAGGATACATTTGACCGTTGTAATAAAAGGGCGTCAAATGCAGCTTTATAACACACACAAATTTAAATATATGAGTACATTAGATGCAAAACTTGGTTTTTG